TTGTTGTTGTTGTGGAAATCGCTTCACTTGGTGACTAATGTGATCATGGTTCTTTGATTGGTTTCTGTGCTTTTCTACTTTTCTAGTTGCTTTGACCAGAGCTTGTTGCCATTCTTGACGTTCCTTTCATCACTGTCAGCTCAGCGGGGAAATTTGGCGAAATAAGAGGCAAGGGCTGGCAGGCAGTATGGAAACTAGGAGAGGGGGGGGGGTATTTCTAAGCTTGACTGAAGAGGGGGGATTAGGAAAATAAGGTGAGGTTGAGGGTTTGTAATGTACAATAGAGAATGGGGTTATACTGTTTTGCGACGAATTGCTGTAAAAATTTATCTTGCCATTTTACTGAAATATGCAATCAGTATCATTTTTTTAATAGCCGAATCAACTGTAATTCATAGCTTTCGGCTCTCCAATTATGAAGCGGAAACGTAGAAATTTTTTGTTGGTAAATTGCTAACTCGGGAACCAGTAAAGTTAGGAAGCTGGAATTTTGAGGGGTTGTTCCTCGTTCATGTAGAACTTAACAAGTTCAAACTCAGTCCTCAACTGACAACTTTTTCAGTTGCTTTGACTAGTGCTGCATCGCTGATGGTCATCCTGGCGGTCAGTTTGCAGGTCAGCAAGCTGGCCCACTGGACATTCGTTTAATCTCTCAAAGTTATTAATTGCTCAACGACATACTTTGTTACAAAAGTAACTTTTTTTTTCTTACTATTTTAATAGTTCTTGTGTTTGATTTTAACCGTGTACCGAGATTAGTAATGTCCTCGCTGTTTATCATTAACAGCCAGTTGTTTATCCGACATAGATTTTAACGTCCTAGGCTAAAGTGTTAGATACTTCCTGTCCAGTTATTCCTAGAACTGCTGAATTCTCATTGTTTCAGAACTAAATTTTTTTTTGAACTTGGTAAAAATGTTTTCTTAACTTATCTTGGGCCTGTCTTATGTTTAAAAAAATAAATTTTTGTTAAAAAAAAATATTTTTAAAGAAAGTAAATTCCCTTCTCTCCTTATCTACTTTTTTTGACTCATTTCTTCGCGCTTTTCTGGCTCATTCTAATAATTTTAGTGTTAAAAAGATGGTGGTTCCCGCCTAGATGCTACTTTTTGATTTTTCGGCTAATGCTAAAATTAGGTAAATTATTGGTTTCGGTTTTTTGCTTCCAGATGCGTAACTTATTGTTTTTTTTCTCATGAATTGGCTTATTGTACAACACATGCAACATTGTTTGTTGTTTCATTGTTCCTCTAATAAAATAAATGGGCGAAATTTTTTGTTTGATCTTTCGTTATAAGCTCTGGATTAACAGACATCAGTCATTGTGCTGTCTTCGAAATCCGCTTTTTTCACCTCCGGAAAACAGTCGCTGAGGTTTTGTCAGCATGTTTATTGCCCATATGGCAAATTGTATACCTAAATTGAGTTCCGATTTGCACTTGCGCTACGACTAAAGGCATTTCAAAGTTAATTATAGCGAAGTGGCTACTTCGCTTACCGGGCTCCCCAGACTGTAGGGCATGAAGTTCGGGTGTTGTTTTTGTGACACATGGGACATGTACGGGGTTCCGAAGTAAGATTATATCTTAACTCATCTTCCAATTTATCGCTTCTACCACGTAAGTTATAGGTCTTTCCGGGATTTTCTGAATACTTCTAGATTCTTTTGGGTCCCACACGCGGACACACTTCGTCTCCCAGTTTTAAGTAAACAAATATTATCCCAAATTTAAAGTGATTTTTTTCAAAAACACATCGATATAGTGCACGAAACTTCACAATTTGCTCGAGTATTTGATTCCATGGTCACGAATAGACGTTTTATTATTACCTTTATGATCAAAGCCAAAATTTGCTCTTCTCATCGATTCCACTCTGAAGTTTTCCCCGTAAAGTTATTTCTGGGGTAATTTTGCCCCAAGAGGCAAAACAGTTCACTGGCCATCTGGGGAGAAATTGGTGGGCAAAAGAAGATTGTCAGTGGTGCACTGGTGACATTCGCAGCACAGTCCGGGTGATATTTTCTTGCCAAGATCCAAACTGTGTATTTTCTCTGTCCAGTTAGGTCACCAAATCGATATTCATGATTGTGCGGCCGCCCACTTGTCTCGTGGACATTGGTCATTGCTGTGAATGATGAAGGTCACTGTACCTGGGAAGCCAAAAAATGATGTAGGAGCAACTGCATGTGCTTCCATTTGGAGCTATACTAAATCGACCAGGATTCTCAGAGTTTAGGATTTTCATTAATTAGTTTGTGAGAGATCCAAATGGTACTACTTCCAGCGTTTTCATTAATTATCAAAATTCGACTGTGTTCCTCTCCACGCTGATGAGCCAGCAACGCATATGTTAACACATAGACGGATTCAGGCCCTGTCCTCTTCCGATCTTCTAGCCAGGGATATTCATTGTTTATATCTCTAAAATTTCTACAACACTTATGGTGTCGAATACGTTGCTAGTTGCGTTAAAAGTGGTATCGCTGTTTGAATATTTTAAAAAGTATCTATGTACACTGGCGTAGTGAGAAGTGACGTTGTCGCGTCATATAAATAGTAAATTGATAGTTCGAGCTCATCAATGGGGCAGTTAGCCCTACTACGATTCGTTCATTCGTTTCGATGGTAAATTAGTACTAGCATATGCCCGAGCTGAAAAACGCCATAGCTTGCTTCTAAATAATTCTCGAAAGAAGAAACCATTGACAGCCTTGCTAGCATGTGATTACTGCTAGTATCTGTTACCACTCGGGCTACTTTCTCAGCGTTTTTGCTTTGCATTGGCAATGAATGCGAAGAAGGGGAGGCGATGAATTTTGATTTTTCTTTGCCTATTTTGCAGTACTAATCTAAATGTACGGTGTATTTCATATATTTTTCTATCTCATCTGCTTATTATGGATATTCGCCGATGCTTCTTCACTCACAACCGGATATATTTTGTATTGTCCATGTATGGGTCGTTTTGGCAATCAGATGGAGCATTTCCTTGGTATGCTGGCATTTGCGAAGGCACTGAACAGGACGCTTGTTCTACCACCGTTTGTTGAATACCATCCCGGAAAATCGAAAGCCGTAAGTTTCGGTGTTTTTTGTG